GTCCTTGACTGATCTGGCCAGTTCAATGTCGCTCGTTGGAACCCTTTAGCAAGCAGGCCTTGCTCGGCTTTGTCTTTTTAATTTTCAGGTTTTGCAGCGATACATGCTTATTGTGATTTGGGTTAAGAACTGCACAGTGATTATATATACACCAAATTATAGGCAGGCGGTAAAACCATTAGAGGATAGGTTTATAATTAACTTTTTTTTATTTCTTATTAAGTACCATTGTGATATCTATTTCTCTACAGTGGGAATTTTCGGGTCTTCCTTTAGTGGTTATCCTGTGATCTGATGGACAGAGATCTGGCCCAATCTGCATATAAAATTTGGTCGAAGTCAAACTTTGTAAAGTTTGACGAGCTTTGTAGAAAAAAATTAGACATTCACAATGTAAAATCAATATTATTAGATGCACCATGAAATTAATTTTCATCCCATATAGCTTTAATATTGTAGATGTTGATATAAATTTGATAACCTTTGCATAGTTTGACTTCAAACAAACCTTGTATGCCGAGTAAAAAGAAACAGAGGGAGTAATTGGAGAATGATTAAGGTTGTAAACTCATGATGAATAGTAAACATCATTGAAACGATGCAATTTTTTTATATTGTAGACTGTAGTTGTGATGTAATGTTCTAGCATGCCTCATATCAACCGAGATTTCAGTTTTTGCGCATCAAGTTACAACTGTGTATACTCTGTGTTGTGCCCACTGGTTCTGTGGAGAAGAATAATTCTGTTGGCTGTATCACCATTTTGGTTTTCAGTGAAATGAAAGCTGGGAGCCATGCTCCTTTCTATCCAGGTCGTACATGTTATGGGCAGAAGATAATTAAGCTCAGTGGCTAAACCTTTTAACACTAAGCAACAATATAGTGGTGTTTACTGTTTAGCACCCTTTATAAATGCAATATGGCACGTTTTGTCCATTATGCCACATTTTGTCCAAGCTGAAACTGATATAACTTGTTTTGTGTTGGTGTTTTTTCAGAAGCAAATGGCAGAGGCTATACTGCTCGCTGTTTCGAAGATTGGGGCGGTCATTTTGAATGAAAGCTGTCTTCGCTGTCATAGACAAGCTATCGTGGAAGGTTGATAATCTAAAGGAATTGCCGGCAAAGATCAAAAGAATCAATACAGAACTGAATACGATGAATGATGTGATTCAACACTTGGGTACAACACAACTCAGCAACAAGGTCATCAATGGTTGGATTGGAAACGTGAGGAAGCTGGCCTACCATGTTGAGGATGTTATTGACAAGTACTCGTATGAGGCTCTTAAGCTGAAGGATGAAGGCTTCCTAGATCGGTACATCTTCAGAGGTTCACGCCATATCAAGGTCTTCAGTAAAATTGCCGAGGAAGTTGTAGAGCTAGAGGAGGAGATTAGGCATGTCAAAGGACAGCGTGATTATTGGAGTGATGCAGTCCAACCTGCTAAAAATGGGCATGCAGAGATTGATAGGCAGCGATCTGGAGGCTGCTTCCCGGAACGTGTTAGCGACAAGGATCTTGTGGGAATTGATGAAAACAGAAGCAAATTGACCGAATGGCTGACCACCAATGAGAACGAAAGCACAGTGATTACAGTTTCTGGTATGGGAGGCTTGGGTAAAACAACCCTTGTGAAAAATGTGTATGATCGGGAGAAAACCAACTTCCCTGATGCGCATGCTTGGATTGTGGTGTCACAGGCATATGATGTAGTGGATTTACTGAAGACATTGCTCACTAAGATACACGACACACAAGAGTCACCTCCGCCGTCACCTCTCAGGGCGGGCGCCAAACCTGATGTTTATGAGTTAACAGGGGCGATAAAGAAGATATTGCAAGATAGGAAGTGCTTGATCGTGCTTGATGATGTATGGGATAAAGAAGCATATTCTCAGATGTTCACTGCATTTCGGGATCTCCAAGGATGCCGTGTTATGATCACAACACGGAAGGAAGATGTTGCGGCTCTTGCTCCGGTGAGGCACCGCCTACTATTGCAGCCATTGGGTAGCGTTGAATCTTTCAAGCTATTCTGCTCTAGGGCTTTCCACAACAGCCTGGACCACAATTGCCCTCCAGAGCTTCATGCGGTAGCTACTGCTATAGTTGAGCGGTGTCGTGGCCTACCATTGGCCATTGTGTCGTCTGGCAGCCTATTATCGAGGAAGCAACCGGCAGAGCATGCCTGGAATGATGTGTACAACCATCTCCGAAGCGAGCTGCGGGGGGATAACCATGTCCAAGCTATACTTAATCTAAGCTACCATGACTTGCCTGGTGATCTCAGGAACTGCTTCCTATACTGTAGCTTGTTCCGTGAAGACTATGCAATGTCACGGGAGAACCTTGTGCGGTTGTGGGTTGCTGAAGGATTTGCAAAGAAGAAAGATAACAGCACACCGGAGGAAGTGGCTGAGTGGAATCTCATGGAACTCATTGGCCGGAATATGTTGGAAGTTCTGGAGAGAGATGAGCTCTTTGGGGTTAGTACATGTAAGATGCATGACCTTGTTCGTGACCTGTCTCCTGCTGTTGCTAAAGAGGAGAGGTTTGGCTCCGCGAGTGATCAGAGCGAAGTGAAGGACATGGATAAAGAAGTTCGCCAATTCTCAACATGTGGTTGGAGAGATAATATGGCAGCTGCTCCAGAAGTGGAATTTCCACGACTCAGGACCGTGATATCACTCTCAGCGGCTTTGTCCTCTACCAACATGATTTCCTCAGTTTTGTCTGGATCCAACTACCTTACAGTTCTCGAGCTTCAAGACTCTGCAATAGTCCAAGTGCCAGAATCCATCGGGAATATGTTCAATCTTCGCTACATTGGCTTAAGGCGCACCAAAGTTCAGTCACTGCCAGATACTATTGAAAAACTCTCAAACCTTGAGACGTTGGATGTCAAGCAAACAAGAATAGAAAAGCTACCACCAGGTATTGTAAAGGTTGAGAGGCTACGACACCTTTTAGCTGACAAGTTTGCTGACGAGAAGCAGGTGGAGTTCCGGTACTTTATCGGAGTGGAAGCGCCGAAAAAGCTTTCCAACTTTAAAGAATTGCAAACTCTTGAGACCGTCCATGCCAGCAAGGACTTGCCACTACAACTGAAAGAAATGAAAGAGCTGCGGACTGTTTGGATTGATAACATCAATGGATCTAATTGTGATGACCTTTTCAAGACCCTCTCAGATAGGCCCCAACTTTCCAGCTTACTTCTCTCTGCATGTGATGTCAAGGAGACGATTTCTTTCCAAGCACTCAAGCCAGTGTCCAAAAATTTCCACAGACTAATCATTAGAGGTGGCTGGGCCGATGGGACACTCAATTGTCCAATATTTCAGGGTCATGGGAAGAATCTCAAGTATCTCGCGCTAAGTTGGTGCGATCTTGGGAGTGAAGACCCCCTGGAGTTACTTGCAACTCATCTGCCAGCTCTCACTTACCTCACTCTAAACAAGGTGAGATGTGCAGGTGCGTTGGTTCTTTCTGCAGGGTGCTTCCCTCAGCTTAAGACACTCGTCTTGAAGAACATGCTTGATGTCAAGAAACTGGACATTTTAGAGGGCGCCATTCCATACATTGATGGGATCTACATCATGTCACTCTCGGAGCTGAGTACGGTCCCTTGTGGCATCGAATCCCTTGGATCTCTCAAGAAGCTCTGGATGCTGTACCTGCACAAGGGCTTCAAGGATGACTGGGATCAGAAGGAGATGCACAACAGGATGAAGCATGTTCTAGAGCTCCGTGCCTAGTTATGCTCTTTTCGTGTCCCCCCGTTGTCTTCTGCTGCTGGAGGTCTGTACTTTGTTGTAATCCTTAATTTTTCTTTCATGCTGCTCTAGACTCTTTTGGGTAGTGCTAATAGGTTTTTGCCCCGTAGTGGGTGCTCGAGAGCAGCGCTCAGCAGCGGGTTTCCTATTAGTGCCCAAACTTGCTATCTTCATTTCCATTCCCTCTATTGTTGTATTGTAAATTTGTAATGAACTGGTTATTTTGATCAATTAATGAAAACGGGCTTAGCCCGGTTGGCAAAAATATCAGCAACACCCTTTGGTAATTAAAACTCATATTAATTTCTTATACATTGTAAGTGTGCACGCTTCTAATTATTTGTAATGAGTCATATGGTACTGTGATGGTATCAACAGCTCTTAATTTCTTTGTAGCTGCATCTTATCATTCATTGTTTGTTGTTTCTGTAATAACTCCTGAAACACAGCAATCCCTTGCTGCCAGGAACTAAAATGATTGAGTTTGTGATGTTTCATACTCCCTCCGTTCCAAAATACTTGTCGTGGTTTTAGTTCAAATCCACGACAAGTATTTTGGAACGGAGGGAGTAGTCTGTATGTACTCTGCCATCTCTTTGTTTCCTAGATACTGCAATGCATTACTCACTACAAGAAATTAGCCATGAAGAATTTTGCCACCAAGTGTTGGCTGCGGCGTCTTCAGCCGGGTAGCATTGCAGCACCTGCAGGGGTGGTTGTGGCAGTGGCGCTGAGTCGGAGCAACTGACGGAGGCGGAGTCAGTACTGTCAAACACCTTATTATGTACGTGACAAGGCTACCGCACCCATATCTTGTGTGCCGTATCTTGCTATGCATATCTTGGTAGTTTGGTTAGGTAGTTAGCTAGGGCTTATCTTCTCTTTGTAATCTTATCTCTATCTAGCTTCTTCTCCAAGATGTAATCTCAACTGTATGCGCTATCAGGGAGGTGCGCCCCTGCTTATAAACACGTACGGTGTCCCCTCGAGTTGAGGTACGACACTTTCCGCCAGCGCACATGGTATCAGAGCCCTTCTCTTCCACAACGTCTAAACCCTAAAACACCATCCAGTGCAAACCATGTCGTCCTCCTCCGGTGCCTCCCAGACTAGCCTCAATGGCCAAGTCATGGAGAGGCTCTCCCGCACCAACTACGTCCTCTGGCGCGCGCAGATCACGCCGCAGCTGAGGGGCGCGGGCGTCTTCGGCTTCGTCAACGGTGCTACACCGGAGACGGCCAGGATCCTCCCCACCAAGGACAAAGATGGGAAGGAATCGACTGTGCCGAACCCTTTCCACGCCATCTGGGTGCGAGAGGACCAGCAGGTGCTCGGGTACCTTCTGAACAACCTCACCAAGGAGGTGCTCGTGCAGGTGACCGCGATCACCACAGCGTGCGAGCTCTGGACGGCACTGTCGGGGATGTTCTCCTTGCAGTCACTCAGTCGCGTCAACAACATCAGAACCTCTCTGGTGAACGCGCAAAAGGGCAACAAGACCGTCGCCACCTACTTCGCCGAGATGCGCGGCTTCGCCGATGAGCTGGCCGCCGCCGGGAAGCCTCTCCAGGACGATGAACTCGTCTCCTACATCCTCCACGTCCTCGACATGGATTACCAGCCACTCGTCTCCGCCCTCGACGCCTGAACCTCCCCGGTATCCCTTGATGAGCTCTTTTCAATGCTTAGTAACTTTGATCAGAGGGTGGCACAGTACCAGGGATCAGGCGGCTTCAAGTCGTCCGCTAACGCAGCAGTGCGTGGGCACGGTGGCTACTCTCGTCATCGCGGCCCGCCTCGCTCCAAGGGCAAGCAAGGGAGTGGCGGCAGCAGCGGCGGGTCCAACTCCCGTGGACGGACCAACTCCACCAACACCAGGGGCCGCCGCGGTGGGTCTTCCAGATCACGCCCGGACGCGGTACGCTGCCAGATCTGCGGCAAGCCGGGCCACACGGCAAGAGATTGCTGGTACCGGTTTGATGAGGACGAGGCTTCCTCTGAAGATGAAGAAAAGATCGCTGCTGCTGCTGACGGCTCATACGGTGTAGATACCAACTGGTATCTTGATAGCGGAGCGACAAATCATCTCACTGGCGAACTAGAGAAGGTCACGCTTGAGGAGAGGTATCATGGCAAGGACCAGATCCACACCGCAAGCGGTGCAGGTATGAGGATACGTCACATTGGTCATTCCGTTTTTCGTACCCCACGTAAACAGTTTCATCTTAGGAAAATCTTGCATGTTCCTAGCACCGACAAGAATCTTCTATCTGTCCATCGTATCACCCTTGACAATCATGTTTATATTGAGTTTCACCCCTTCTTCTTTTTGATCAAGGATCAGGTCACGAGGAAAACTCTCTATCAAGGTAGATGCGTTCGGGGCCTCTATCCGTTGATTCCGGAGCTTCGAAGATACAATAAACAAGCTTGTGGTGCTATCAAGCTTTCAGCCACATGATGGCACGACCGTTTAGGGCATGCGTCATTTTCCTTAGTTGATCATTTACTTAAAATGAATAAGCTCCCGTTTGTTGGTGAGAGCAATGTTGAAACCATTTGTGACTCTTGTCAGAGAGCAAAAAGTCATCAACTTCCTTATCCTGTGTCCACCAGTGTTTCTACTCAACCTTTGCAGTTGATTTTTTCTGATGTGTGGGGTCCTGCCCCAAGCTCCGTGGGTAGACATACATACTATGTTAGCTTTGTTGATGACTACAGCAAGTTTTCCTGGCTTTACCTTCTTAAAAAAAGGTCAGATGTGTTCCAAGTCTTTCAAAATTTTCAGGCGCTTGTTGAACGCCAATTTGACAGAAAAATTCTTGCTATCCAGTCAGATTGGGGAGTAGAATACGAAAAGTTGAACTCCTTCTTCCAAACACTAGGAATTTCTCATCATGTGTCATGTCCTCACGCTCACCAACAAAACGGGTCGGCAGAACGTAAGCATAGGCACATTGTTGAGGTTGGTCTTGCTCTCTTGGCCGGAGCTTCTATGCCCTTAAAATTCTGGGATGAAGCATTCCTTACTGCCGTTCACATCATCAACATGCTACCTAGTCGAGTATCAACAATGAAACTCCCATAGAACGTCTTCTCCACACAAAACCAGATTATAAATCTCTTCGTGTGTTTGGATGTGCCTGCTGGCCGAATCTTCGCCCTTACAACAATCGCAAGCTTATGTTTCGCTCCAAACAGTGTGCGTTTCTTGGGTATAGTGCTCAGCACAAAGGTGTCAAGTGCTTGGACATCTCTACTGGTTGTGTCTACATCTCTAGAGATGTCGTTTTCGATGAAACAGAGTTTCCTTTTGCTGATCTCCATCCTAACGCCGGTGCCTTACTTCGCAAAGAAATCCTTCTTCTTCCACCTCACCTCTCTCGTTATGATCATGGGGGGCACGATAATAATGGTAATGATCATTTGTTGACTAACCCTCATAACCATCTGCATGAGTTCTGTGATGCTCCAGGAGATCGTAGTGGTGAAGAAAATGAAGAAAACAGCGAAGAAAATGAAGAAAACAGTGCAATGCACTGTCCATATCGCATGTGTCATGGTGGAGGGAGCAGATCCGCCTCAGGATCCGGTGCGCTAGTTGCGGCACGCGAATCCGTCTCGGGATCCAACGTGGCAGCAGCGGCAGGTGGATCCGCCTCGGGTCCTGGCGCGACAGCGACCGGCTCCGCGCGGGCCACGCGGCCAGATGTGGCTGGTGGTAGCGGCTCCACCAGCCCGCGCCAATCAGAAACTGCCACGCGCTCTTCTCCCATCGGCCCGGTCGGCTCGCGTTTCGGCAACCAGGCGATCGAATGGCGTGGGCCCGGATGCTGCAGGCGCAGATCTCTGCCAGCCCGTGACCGCTGGTCGGGTGGGATCTTCTGCGCCAGATTCGTCTTCAACGCCTCAGCCTCGAGCCACAGAAGATCACCCAGCTGCAGAACCTGCCAAAGTTGCTGGCGCAGGCGGATCTGCCTTGGATCTGGTGCAGGAGGATTCCGCCGGATCTTTTGTGGCACAGAACGATCCTGTTCCATTAGGTCCAGGCCGGCTCAGCCCATTAGTCCCGGTTCAGTGTAGAACCGGGACCAATGTGGGCATTGGTCCCGGTTCGTGAGCCCAGGGGGCCGGCCGGGCCACGTGGGCCATTGGTCCCGGTTCGTCTGGACCTTTTGGTCCCGGTTGGTGGGACGAACCGGGACCAATGGGCCTCGCTCCTGGCCCACCACCATTGGTCCCGGTTGGTGGCTTGAACTGGGACCAAAGGCTCCCCTTTAGTCCCGGTTCATGCCACCAACCGGGACCAATGAGGTGCCTATATATACCCCCTCGCGCAAGAGCAGAGCACAGTGCTCTGTTTTTTCTGGCCGAGGGGGAGAGGGCTTTGTGGTGCTCTAGCTCACCTCCTATGCACATGAGGTGTTCGATGGAATGCCCGAGCCACACTACTTAAGCTTTCTCCTCTCGAAGCTCGACCTCCAAGCTCCATTTTCCTCGAGATTTGTCTAGATTTAGCGGTCCGTCACGCCCCGTCCCCGTCTTTACCGCCGTCGATCACCCGCGCCGATCTCATCACCGACACCACCGTGGTGAGCCTCTTGTTCTTATCTTCTTTCTGAAAGGAAAAATATTCTTACTTGTATGTTTAGATAGATACTTGTATCATTTTCTTACATTTATTATTGCATCTTATATAGTGCGATGGTTTTGGTATCCGCCCCCGTTGGCCCTCGTCCTGTCTATGATTCGGATTTGGTATGTATATTATCTTTATAACTATTGGTTCATTTATTGTTTATGAAAATTATGCCGACCAACGCGACATAGATTTTATTTATCTAGGATGTATGTGAATCGGAAATGCCAACCGACCCTATTGTCGAGAGGTTAAATTTAGTTGAAGAAGAAAACAATTTGTTGAAGGAAAAAATAAAAAAAATTGAGGAGGAGAAGATGATATTGGAGTTGCATGTTGCGGA